TTTTTCATGTCTTACACCAATCGCTGTCTCCCTTCACCCACTTTTCAGTTGTCCATCCCCCTGGGAGGGGGTTATATATAGATCATTTTGATCTGTTCCTCTTTTCTACCCCCAGCTTCCCCTTCCCCTCCTGTCTGTCATGGATTTCCTGTGTTTCCAGCTCTTATATGTACCAATGCTCTGGTCTGGCTGGATTTGTAAGGTAGATTTGGGGTTATGTTAGTGGTGGGGGGGGTCATTAAAGAATGAGAGGGAAGTTGTTTGTTTCATTGGTGCTATACTGCACCCTGACTGGCTTGTCTCTTCCTTGTGATCCTTCTCTATGGGAATGTCCAATTGTCTGCAGATGGGCTTTGGGTCTCCACTCTGCCCTACCCCTCATTCACCTTGATATTATCTTTTTTGTTCTGGGTCTTAGAAGCCTGATACCTGATCCCATCGACACCTAATCATCACACAGGCTGGTGTGCTTCTTCCATGTGGACTTTGTTGCTTCTCATCTAGATGGCTGCTTGTTTATCTTCATAGCTTTAAGGGCCCAGACGCTATATCTTTTGATAGCCGGGTACTATCAGCTTTCTTCACCACATTTGCTTATCCATCCATTTTGTCTTTAGCGCAGCGATCACACACACACACACACACACACACACACACACTTTTAATGTAATTAAATATAATCAGCCAGGGCAGTTTCTTCTTGAAAATTTTATGTATCCTGGATTACTTGCTTAGTGATTGGCAAGACAGAGGATAATTTTAAACTATGATGCAAATGGCTAAATAGTGTAATTCAAGAATTATTTCAATTATTGTTCAGTGTAATGGAAGTAGTAAGTAAAATTCCACATTGTAGAGGCTTTTAATATCTTTATTATGCTGAGTGTGAAAATCACAATTCCTTTTTTCTTTTATTCAGAGACACTTTTTCAGGAATCTTGGGTCCATTCTAGCCTATGCCTTCTTGGGGACTGCTGTTTCCTGTTTCATTATTGGGTAAGTGACTGGACCACAGAGCTCAATATTTTGGTGTTTTTGATGATGGCCATTAAGACCTCAAGCTGCATTTTCTAGTATGCCACTACTAGCCATATGTGGCTATTTAAATCAACATCAAGATGAATGAAAAATTAAATAAAATTGCACTCAGAACCCAGATCTTGGTTTCTAAGATAATTCTCCAATAAAAGGAACCAGAGACCCTTACAGAACGACTGATGAACCCAGAGAGCATCTTGTAGTGCTGAAAATAAGCAGTGATCAAACAAACAAATAAAAGGATGGGACATGCCAACCTGAAAGAACCCCTAATGACCAAAGCTGTGATGATTTAGACAACAATACAAATGACATTTTTTTTGGATTATAATATAGAGTATGGAATAAATAACTATGAGTCCACACTGCCATAAGTAAGTAATGATTGAGTACAGAACTAGATGGGCAAAGTGGGACAAATCTCAAGTCAGAAGAACTCCAGATAAGTCAAGTAGAGACAGTCCTTCCTCCTAGGAGGTCAAGCTTAGCCCTCTCGGCGTATAGGCTGGAAAAGTCAGCAGTTTGACATCAGCAGCTGCTCTGTAAGAGAAAGAGGAAGCTTTCTGCTACCATAAAGTGTTAGTCTGGGAAACCCAGAGGGGCAGTTCTATTCCATCCTGTAGAGTGGCTCTGAATCAGAAGCAACTTGATGGCAGTGAGGCTGTTTTTGATCTGTGAGTCCTGTGATTTTTATGACAATTTCTTAAACATTATGCAGGTTTTTTCCCTTTCTCTCCCGTCTCTTACTCATTTTTTTTTAGGATGCTTTAACTTTGTTGCTAATTGAAGCTCATATATTCCTAGCTCCTACAGTTGTTGAAGGGATCCTTACGGGGTTCAAATGACTCAGTGCTCAACTACTAATCATTGAAAACCCTGGTATGCATGGGTTCAGAACTGCTGACCTTGCGGATGACAGCCCAATGCCTAACTACTCTGCCACTGCAAAGAGCCCTGGTGGCACAGAAGTTAGGCATTGGGCTGTCATCCGCAAGGTCAGCAGTTTATTAAAGTACTCCACTTGAGGTATTTTCTAAGACAGCAGCCCTAGATATCAAAGGCACTCATATTTTGGGTAAGCATCCAACAATAGGAGCTGCCTAATGTTTTCACAGATCTCCCCAGGTGTAGTATTCTTACATCACTCTGCTTGCATATTTTCTAGGTTACTGGATTTTACTTTCTCTTTTCTCTGGGAAAGCCATCCTAATGACTTGGTATACTTAATTTTCTTACAGAAATCTCATGTATGGTGTGGTGAAGCTCATGAAGATTGTGGGTCAGCTCTCTGATAAATTCTACTACACAGACTGTCTCTTTTTTGGAGCCATTATCTCTGCCACTGACCCAGGTATTTGCGTATTTGGTGCTATGATATTGCACTGCAGTCATGTGCTATATAACATCTGCTTGGGCAATATTCTACTACTATATATATGTCCACTGCCCCAACCCCTGAAAAGCCTATTATATTAAAAATACTAACAATGGTTTATAATAACAAAAGTGCTACTTTGCAATGTGCATCAAAACATTATTATTACTGTATTATGTTCAAGTGGTTTCAGTGTATTGGAAAGTCTTTCTTTAATTATTTTTATATATAGGAAGGTACACTACATACCAAGACTAACATTTAACTAACAAACCTTAGGTATGAACCTTACCTAACCGTTCAGATTTAAAGTCAGATTTAAGAATGGGAACCATTTGTAATACAAGGACTGCTTGTATTTAATACGGTGCTTGCAAAACATCCAAATAATATTGCATCCTATTTCACAGAATGTATTGTGGATCTTGGAGCTCTGGTGGCCTGCTAACTATAAGGTCTGCAGTTTGGAACCACCAGCTGCTCCATGGGAGAAAAACTCGGCTTTCTACTCCTGTAATGAGTTACAGCCTTGGAAACTCAACAGGGGCAGTTCTACCCTGTCCTATAGAGTCACTGTGAATCAGCATCAGCTTCGACTTGATAGCAGTGAGGTGTTTTATTTAATTGTGAATATTAAGTGACATGATTGTATTTACATACTAAAAAGTCAAAGCAACCATTAACTTTTGTGGGAGACTCTAGTTATAACAAGGAATGGTAGGAAAAGCAGCTAGTAAGTCTAATAGATGTGGATGGCTATTCTGGGAAGGATTTGTATCTTCGTTTCGTTTGTCATTTTGTCTTTGGTAGATGCCCTCAAGTCTCTTCTGACTCATAGCGACCCTATGTGTAACAGAGTGAAATACTACCCAGGCCTGTGCCATCCTCACAATTGTTGTTCAAGCCCATCTTTGCAGCCATTGTATAAATCCATCTCGTCTAGGGTCTGTTTTTTGTTTTTTTGTTTTTTTGCTGCCCCTCTACTTTACAAAGCATGATGTCCTTCTCAGGGACTGGCCTCTCCTGGGAATGTGTTCCAAGTACACGAGACAAAGTCTCACCATCCTTGTTTCTAAGAAGCATTATACCTGTACTTCTTTGAAGACAGATTTGTTTGTTTTTTGTCAATCTACAGTACTTTCAAAATTCTTTGCCAGCACCATAATTCAAATGCATCGATTGTTCTGAAGAACAATCGATTCTTATTCAGTCTTATTCAATAAGTCTTCCTTATTCAATGTCCAAATTTCATGTGCATATGAGGCTATTGAAAATACCATGACTTGGGTCAGGCAAACATTGTTCCTCAAAGTAACCTACTTTTCCAAACTTTAAAGAGGTCCTATGCAGCAAATATACCCAATTCAATGCATAGTTTTATCTTGTGATTGTTGTTTCTATGAGCATTGATTGTGGATCCAAGCAAAATGAAATCCTCGATAACTTCCAATATTTTCTCCATTTATGATGATTGGTCCAGTTGTGAGGATTTTAATTTATTTTTTATTATTATTCTTTTTTTTGGTTTTCAAGGCTGTAACTTTTTTTAAAAAATCGTTTTATTGGGGGCTCATATGACTCTTATCACAATCCCTACATACATCAATTGTGTAAAGCACATTTGTACATTCATTGCCCTCATCATTCTCAAAACATTTTTGCTCTTCACTTAAGCCCCCAGCATCAGGTCCTCATTTTTTCTCCCTCCCTCCCTGCTCCCCGGATTTGTATTTTCTTTAGGTTAAGTTGTCATCCATTTTGAAGGTGGCAATTCTTGATTCTTCATCAGCAAGTACTTCAAATCCTCCTCACGTTCAGCAAGCAAAATTATGTCATCTTCATATTGAAGGTTAATAAACCTTCTTCCAATCTTGATGCCCTGTTTTTCATAGAGTCCAGCTTCTCTGATGATTTGCTCAGTACACAGATTGAAGAAGTATGGTGAGAGGATACAACCCTGATACACACTTTTCCTGATTTTTAAACCATGTAGTATTCCCTCGTTCTGTCCACATAACTGCCTCTTGATCCGCATACAGGTTTCCCATGAGAATAATGAAGTTTTCTAAAATTCCCTTTCTTCTCAAGGCTATCCATAGTGTTAAGATCCACACAAGCCTTTGCAGAGTCAATAAAATATAAATAAACATCTTTCTGATATTCTCTTTTCTCTACTTTAGTTAAGATCTGTCTGACATCAGCAATTATATTTCTTGTTCCGCATTCTCTTCTGAATCCAGCTTGAATTTATGGAAGCTCCTGCTAATTTACTGCTACAACAGTTATTGAATGATCTTCAGCCAACTTTTGCTTGCATATTATGTCAGCGATATTGTTCTATAATTTGTGCATTCTGCTGGGTCACCTTTCTTTGGATTGGGTACATAGAGATTTCTTCCAGTCAGTTGGCGAGGTAGATGTCATCCCAATTTCTTGACACAAATGAGTGAGTACTTCAGTGCTTCATCAGATTGCTGAAACATTTCACATGGGATTCCATCAGTTCCTAGAGTCATGTTTTCAGTGAATGCTTCCAGTGCAGCATGAACTTCTGCCTTCAGTACCATTGATTCTCGCTCATATGCTACCTCCTGAAATGGTGGAATGTCAACTACTTCATTTTGGTACAGTGACTGTGTATATTTTCCTTCTTTTGATGCTTCCTGCAACATTCAATGCTTTGCCCATAGACTCTTTGAAAGACAAGGCATAGTTGTTTTTTTCTTGAGTTCTTTAAGCTGAGCATTTTCTTCCTTTTTAGTTTTCTAACTCCAGGTCTCTGCATTTTGTTATAAAACTTTGTTTTCTTGAGCTACCCTATGAAATTTTCTGCTCAGCTCTTTTGCTTCTCGTTTCTTCCATTTGACTTAGTGACTCCACGATTTACAATTATCAGAGTTTATTCTCATCATTCACTTTGATCTTTTATTTCCTGAATGATTGCCTTTTTTCCTATGATGTTATTGATGCCATTACACAGCTCATCAGCTCTTCTATCATTAGTGTTTAATGAGTCATATCTGTTCTTGAGATATTCTAGAAATTCAAGTGGGATATGCTCAAGGTCATATTTTGGGCCTTGTGGACATGTTTTAATTTCCTTCAGCTTAAA